AGCTCAAAACGAGGTTCGCCGGAGCCGCCACACCCACCAAAAAAAACCCTAATCCGATCTAAAGACGTGCTACCAGCGATGGGATGAGCCCGCCACCACCGCCGTCGCTCCTACTGCAGGGCCACCATCGGACCACTGTAGTACCAGCACTGGACTTCACCTCCTCGCCACTACGACGTCTACTACACCGACGGCATTGGCGTCTACGCTTGCCGATGCGCTGCAACAGAGACAGGCAAGGAGCCTAACCGGATCTACGGGTTACACACAGAGGTACTCACATCGATCCTAACATGGGAATCACTGAAGGCGAGGTTTGTTGGTGCAGAGCGAGTGAGGGAAGCGCGGTTGCAGACCCTGAAGAGCGAGTTCGACGCTTTGCGGATGAAGGAAGATGAGCAGCTTGATCAGTATGTGGGAAAACTGATGGGTATGTCAGTCAAGTATGGTAACCTTGGTGGTACATTGGGAGATGCAAAGACCGGGTGAAGAAACTTTTGACACCGTGCCTGATCGATACCTCAATGTGATCGCGGGGTCGAGCGCTTCTATGATCTGTCCAAGATGGCGTTCGATGATGCGCTTTGGTCGATTGAAGGCGTTTGATGAGCGTATTAAAGAGCGAGGAGGTGGTGCGCGTTCGACAATGGGCGCTTGTTGCTCACACAATCGAAATGGGAGGCACGCCAAGAGATCGACGGGAGAAGGGTCCGGAGGCGGAGGTCTCATGATGGAGGCGATCGTGGCGGGGAAGAGGTCGTGGCGGCGGACATGGTGGCCGTGGAGGACAAGGTGAAGCAGCCAAGGATGGCGGAAGCAAACGTGACAAGAGTCACATAAAATGCTTCAAGTGTCATAATAACGGTCACTACGCAAATCGATGCCCAGAGAAGAAGAAAGAGGAAGAGGCTCACCATGTCGAGACAAGGAGATCGAGCCGCCGTCGTTGTTGCTCGCAGTAAATGTTGAACCGAGACTCGCATGAGCACACCGAGACAATGAGTCTACATTCGAGAGGTGTATCTGGAAGAGTCCAAGGTGATGCCGGCGCTCTACTTCATCGAAGAGGGTGATGAGGAGTCCATGAATAATGTCTGGTACCTGGATAATGGCGCTAGCAACCATATGTCGGGGGTTCGACAGATGTTCAGAGACATTGATCATACTGTCTCTGGTAAGGTACGGTTTGGCGATGGTTCTTTTGTTGAAATTATGGGGAAGGGTTCAATTGCTTTCAAGGAGATCTGGTGATCGATGGTTGTTGCATGATATTTACTATGTTCCTAAACTTAAGAGCAATTTGATCGGTTTGGGTCAGTTGATGAGATTGGGCATAGAATTGTTATGGATGATGATGAAATAGTTGTTACAGAGAGAAAAATCCACATAGACCCATCATGAGAGTTCAGAGAGAGTTGAATAGAACTTACAAAATTGAATTGGCACCAAAGAATCCAATTTGTATGTTGACTAGTATTGGGGATGAGGCTTGGTTGTGGCATGGCGGGCTTGGCCATGTGAATTTTCGAGCCATGAAAAAATTAGTTGACAAGGAGATGGTTGGAGGAGTGCCATTGATACAAAGATCCGGATCAGGTTTGTCAAGACTGCTTTGACAACCAAGCAAACTAGGATGTTTTTTCCTCATTCAAAGATTGTGGAGGGCAGATGAGCCACTCAAGCTTGTCCACGTGGATCTGTGTGGGCCCATAACACCATCTATCGCAGGTGGCAACAAATATTTCATGTTGTTGGTGGATGATCGCACAAGATGGACACAGTGTACATGTTGAAGAACAAGGACCAAGTCATTGATGCTTTTGTCAAGTACAAAGGCGGATGTGGAGAATTCTTCAAGCCACAAATTGAAGATCCTCGGATCGAGATAGGGAGGGAATTTCTTGCCAAGTCATTTTAGAGTATGTGTGAACAGTCAGATCAAGCACCAGATTCATCAGCACCCTATTCACCACAACAAAATGGAGTGGTAGAAAGAAAGAACGAATCGGTGATGGAGATGGCAAGGGCTATCTTTGAAAAGCATGAATTTACCAGAAGGTTTTAATGAGGCGATCGGACATCTTCAGTACTTGCTAAACAGACCGCCAACCAAAGCAATGGGTGATAGGACTCCCTATGAGGGTTGGAATGGAAGAAAACCAAATCTGAGCCATTTGAGGGTTTTTGGTCAGAAAGGGCATGTGAAGACAAAGGTGAAGCCACATCTGAAGAAACTTGAAGATAGAAGTGTGCCAATGGTGTATTTTGGCATAGAAGAAGGAAGCAAGGCTCATAGAATGTACAATCCTCAAGACAACAGAATAGTGGTTAGTAGAGATGTTGTTTTTGAGGAGTCACAGTAAGTGGAGCCGGGAAGCGAAGAAGAAAGGGATTTTACTGAAAACCGAGAAGAAGGGGATGGACAATTCTTTTCCGAGGGTTTGGGAGATTTGGTGTTGGGATTGGTGCGAGATCAAGACCATCGACAGATGTTCAAGATGGAATGCCAAGTGGAGATACAAACACAAAGCAGGAGGCAAAGAGTCTGCATTTGAGTCGGTTAGCGGTCGGCCATGCTCAAGAAAATCCGACAATAGAAGCGAGATGATGTATTTCCGTGGAATTCAAAGATGAACTTTGAGGGGAATCATGATATGATGGATGTTGATGACAAGTGACAACTATGATGAAACCCCACTCGAGATTCGAGAGACTTGAATGAGGTCTATCGGAATCGGAAGAAGTGGAACCGAATTCTAACACGAAATTGCACTTTCTTTGGCGATAATGGAAGAACCTTCAAGTTTTATGGAAGCGATGGGTGATGAGAATTGGATGAATGCCATGAGGAGTGAGATTCACCTATCTCAAAAAACAAGACTTGGGAATTGTCTCGCTTTGCCACCGGGGATGAAGCCAATTGGGCTTAAATGGGTTTTCAAGCTCAAAAGGAACTCGAGGGAGAGGTGGTAAAACACAAGGCTAGGCTGGTAGCTAAAGGGTATGTACAAAAACAGGGTGTTGATTTTGAGGAAGTGTTTGCACCAGTTGCAAGGCTGGATACAATCAGGATGATACTAGCTATGGCAAAGAAACAAAGGATGGCAGGTGCATCATCTTGATGTGAAATCAGCATTTCTCAATGGTGAATTGGAAGAGGAAGTTTATGTAGTACAACCTCAAGGCTTTGTGGAGAAAGGAAAGGAAAGAATGGTTCGAAGTTAAGCAAAGCACTCTATGGCTTGAGACAGGCTCCTAGAGCCCGGAATGTGAAATTAGACAAGAGGTCTGAAGAATTTGCAATTTAGCAAATGTGCTAGTGAACCAAAGCAAGGTACACTAGGGGAGTTGGGAAGAAGGCGCTTATACTTGGTGTTTATGTTGATGATTTGATAGTGACAGAGAAGATCCAAATGAGATTGAGTTGTTCAAGAAAGAAATGACCTCACAATTTGATATGAGTGATCTTGGTTTATTATCATTCTATCTCGGGGATTGAGGTTGATCGCCAGCAGGATTATGTTATCGCTGTCGACCCAGTCTATGCAAAAAGAAAGTATTGAGCCGGTTTGGTATGGAAGATTGTAATCCTACCAAAATCCCAATGGATCCGTGGAGCTAAACTTGATGAGGATAAAGGAGGAGAAAGAGTTGATGCCACTGATTACATGAAGAGTAATTGGGTGTCTCGAGGTATCTACCGCATACAAGACCAGATTTGTCTTTTTCAAAGTGGGGATGGTTAGTAGATACATGGAGAAACCTACAATGAAGCATCAAAGAGCGAAAGAAAGCAAATACTGAGATATTTGAAGGGTACTGTGGATTTTGGGTTGGTGTATACCCAAGGTGGGAAAGAAGAAGAAATAATTGGTTATAATGTGATGTGATTTGGCTGGTGACTTGGTTGGAAGAAGGAGTACAGCAGGTATGGCTTTCTATCTGAATGAGAGTCTGATTACTTGGTGTTCTCGTAAGGAGAAAACTGTTGCTCTATCTTCTTGCGAGGCTGAGTTCATGGCAGCAACAGCAGCTGCAAAGCAAGCCTTATGGCTTAGGAGTCTGTTGAGTGAGCTCACTGGAAGGAAGCCAAAGTCAGTAGAACTATTTGTTGACAACAATTCAGCTATTGCCTTGATGAAAAACCCTGTGTTTCATGGTAGGAGTAAGCATATAGATATCAAATACCATTTCATTAGGGAGTGTGTTGAGAGGAAGCAGATTGTTGTGAAGAGAGTGTGCACTGCAGAAAGCGAAGGCGATACTCGACAAAAGCCTTGCCAGCAGTGATGTTGGGTGTGATGAACCATCTACTCGGGATCAGGAAGCTTGATGTGCATCAGGCTTAGGGGGGAGTATGTTGGTGTAAGCCAGCTGCACAATGAAGTCTTGGAGGCTGCTCGTGATGCTGGTGAAGCGGGAGAAGCAGCGTGTTTGAATTCAAGATGCAGCGGGAACGGTTACTGGAGCCGGCGCGGTGAGCGCGCCCACGTTCGTGCACTGACAGTGCAGTTGCATTGTTGGTCACTTGTATCTTGTGTTTAGCAGTTTTATTCTAAACAAGTGTGTGTAATGACTGCTGGTATAAGTAGCCTAGAGTTCGAAGTGTGAGTTAGCGCTTCAGTTTACTTGTAATCGTGATTGTATTGCAGACCTCAATCAGTGAAAAAGGGCACTGTCACTCCCTGTCGACAGTTGCCAGTTCGTGTCCATTTCGTGTTCTTGAGCGCAAATCCTTGTCTAGGCTAGCCAATTAACAATATTGTGCTGTGATTGTGATCTTGATTTCCTACATCTCCTACACCACGGAGAACCACGTGCCCTTCGTGGTGATCGACCTCGCCAACCTGAACCGCGTCCAGGTCGACCCGGCGCCGGCGGCGGGCGCGGTCGCCACGGCCTGGCTCGAGTCCGGCGCGACGCTGGGCGAGGTCTACTACGCCGTGGGGCTGTCGAACCGGACCCTGGCGTTCTCCGCCGGGTCGTGCGCGACCGTCGGCATGGGCGGGCACACCGCCGGCGGCGGGTTCGGCCTGCTGTCCAGGAAATTCGGGCTCGCCGCCGACAACGTCCTGGACGCGGTCTTCATCGCTCCGAACGGGAGCTCCTTCACCCGTGACACCATGGACGACGACGTGTTCTGGGCCATCCGAGGCGGCGGCGGAGGGAGCTGGGGCGTGGTGTACGCTTGGAAGCTCCGTCTCGTCCCGGTCCCCGACAACGTCACCGTGTTCAGCGTAGCGCGATCCGGTCCGGCCGAGCTCATCGCCGGGCTGATGCACAGGTGGCAGTACGTTGGGCCTAGTCTCCCCGACGAGTTCTACCTCTCAACGTTAATTCCGGCGAGGTCATCATCGGACGGTAACATCTCCATGTCATTCACCGGCCAGGTTCTTGGACGACCGAAGCAGCTAGCCATGTCAGTGCTGAACCAGAGCTTCCCCGAGCTGGGCCTCGCCGAGTCAGAGCTCTCTGAGGTGAGCTGGCTCGAGTCGGCGGTGAAGTTCGCCGGCGTCAGCTCAGTCGCGAGCCTCACGAACCGGCAGCCTAGAGTGGGGGAGTACGCGAAGAGGAAGTCCGACTACGTGCAGGCGCCGATCTCGATGCAGGACACGATCAGGATCGTCCAGTACTTGTCGACGGGGCCGGCGGGATCGTCCATCCAGCTGGACCCCTACGGTGGGGCCATGGCGCGGATAGGGAGCACCGACACGCCGTTTCCTCACCGTGCTGGATACCTGTACAGCATCCAGTATGCAGTGACTTGGAATGCATCGGATATGGATCGTTCAGACGGTCATGTAGAGTGGCTTCGGTCGTTCTACGCTTTCATGGCGTCCTACGTGTCAAAGAACCCATGAGCTGCATATGTGAACTACTTGGACCTTGATTTGGGCACCAACGACTGGATGAATGCGACCGGTGGAACGTCCAATGGCTCTGTGGGACATGCGGCGTCATGGGGCGAGCGATATTTCCTCATGAATTTTGACAGGTTGGTTCAGACCAAGACTAAGGTTGATCCTGGAAATGTGTTCAACAATGCACAAAGCATTCCTCTATATTTTAGATGATAGAGAGCACTGTACTTGTCATTGCATGTACTTACACCAACAATAAAAATGGAAAAAGCACTGAACTTGTCATTGCATGTACTTACACCAACAATAAAAATGGAAACAATTTGCTGTGGAGTAGTAATGTTTTGGTCTCCATAGCTCATATTGCTAGAGTTGTCACCGTTTTTTTTTTCAATTTAACCCTTTTTTCTTCAAAAATTCACATGTATACCCTTGGGCGACGTAAACCCGTCTTTGGACCCTGGACTCGGCGCCATGGCCTACGGCGCCGAGGTAACACGTCTCGGTGCCACAAGCCATAGTGCCGAGGATGGAGGTCAGGGGTGGCGTGGCTGGCGATGTGTCGCTGACGTGGCTAGAGCTCAGCGCCACGACTCATACGGTTGTTGTCGTGGCCTTTTGGCCTGTTTAGGATAGGAGGGGGGTTTTCATGAAGGAATGGGAAAGATTCTAAAAAGTGCTTAAAGTCCAAACGAGACCCGAAGAAAATCCAAACACACATGCAACTAAATTATATAAAGTGCACCAATTAATTATAATGTCCACTTTTGAAAAAGTTCACACAGAGAGAGAGCTAGGGTTTCATTTTAGAAACAAATAGAAATTGTGCGTGAGGTATGTAGGTTGAATTTGAGTGGGGTTTGAATTCAACTCAATTTTAGTTTATTTGGAAATATTTTGTTTGAGAAATTTCCTTTACCATGTTTTTGATAGAGTTAACAACATGACGTTGTCTCGTTTGTAAAAATTTTGAAGTTGTGATTTCGAAATCAGGATGAAAAGGGGGTTTGAATTAAGTTGACTACACATTACATGCCACACACACATTGCACAATTTTTTTTAAAAGTTGGTATTTTTATATTACATAAAAACACGGAATGTTACATAACCTATCTCATACACAACACTAGAGTATCGTTTTGTCCACTAGTTGTCACAATTACCAAAACCAAACATAGGGTTTTCAGCTGTATCGCACCCCCCCCCCCTCAACGGTTAGCCCCCAACACCGATGCCCATCATTCACCCCAACCAACGCCCCCTCTCACGCAGACCGTCCCAATGGCTGCCTCAGATTGATCATTTCACGAAATTATTCCTCATTTCATAGACTCATGAGTATGGAGGGCTCAATTATTATTACTACCTTCTTTGCAACATCAGTGCTAACTCCTAATCTAGATTAACTTCCCATCAATCCACAAAATACATACCTTTGGTCACTTGAACTATTGTGTGCCAAGCTTCTTTCTTTGCCTATTGAAATGGGATTTACCATTTACTTCAACAACAACACAACAACAACAAAGCCTTTAAGTCCCAAACAAGTTGGGGTAGGCTAGAGTTGAAACCCATCAGAAGCAATCAAGGTTCAGGCACGTGAATAGCTGTCTTCCAAGCACTCCTATCTAAGGCTAAGTCTTTGGGTATATTCCATCCTTTCAAGTCTCCTTTTATTGCCTCTACCCAAGTCAACTTCGGTCTTCCTCTGCCTCTCTTCACGTTACTATCCTGGCTTAGGATGCCACTACGCACCGGTGCCTCTGGGGGTCTCCGTTGCACATGTCCAAACCATCTCAACCGGTGTTGGACAAGCTTTTCTTCAATTGGCGCTACCCCTAATCTATCACGTATATCATCGTTCCGAACTCGATCCCTTCTTGTATGACCGCAAATCCAACGCAACATACGCATTTCCGCGACACTTAGCTGTTGAACATGTCGTATTTTCGTAGGCCAACATTCTGCACCATACAACATAGCAGGTCTAATCGCCGTCCTATAAAATTTGCCTTTTAGCTTCTGTGGTACCCTTTTGTCACATAGGACACCAGACGCTTGCCGCCACTTCATCCACCCTGCTTTGATTCTGTGGCTAACATCTTCATCAATGTCCCCGTCCCTCTGTAGCATTGATCCTAGATATCGAAAGGTATCCTTCCTAGGCACTACTTGACCTTCCAAACTAACATCTTCCTCCTATTTACTTCATCACTAAATAATTCTAGAAATTGTTGATTATGTGATATTGGTGCGTTTGTCTCTAGTCCAGGCAAAGGCTATTGATTATGATTAGCAACCCATCACCATGTTGGCTGCCATTGCCACCCATCCCAGCGCATTACAAACGTCTGAGGTGCTTATAAATGAGAGTGATGATTTTTTCTGTTACTTTCGACCAAGAGACTTGTTCAACACATCTATGAATTTGTACTCTTACTTTCCTACAACATTTGTCCCTAAATTTATCCCCTCACATGTATTCTTTTGCACATGAGGAAAATCATGTTTAGACATTTTGGTTCTCGAAGTTCATTTACGTATGTGAACATTGAGAAAAACAACAAAATTTGTGTGTGTCATTGAAAACATAGATGTTAGTAATCCATTAGCCAATAAACTGCTTCTTTCTTCTAGTTCCCTATCAGACCCATTGGTTTTGTTCATTACTGCAATATAGTTTTAGTTTCGACTGAATAGTCTATGATCTATAACACACAACTCAAGTTATCTACGTAGTATATCATAACTTCGTTAGTTGAGGTTATCTACATAACATCATAGTATATCAGTCTTCCATGCAAAAATCAGCAGCTACGCTCTAACCTTTTCTATATCAAACTTATTTGCAGAAATACCAGAATATAGGTAAAAAATGTTCAGCTACCAATACCCCAACCTCACAATAGTGGAAGAAGACGACAACACCTTCATCAGAGCTATGCAGTTGGAGAGCACGCTATTGTTGCAAAGTTTACAAAACATGCCTAAAATGACATCTTCCCATAAACTATCCAAGAGGCAATCCAACATCAATTTCAGGTTACCACCCACTTGCATGATATTTCATGATACGACCCAAACTTCCTCATACAAACACTATTTCAATCTATGTTCTCATCATATCCAAAGGATTTCATAATGTATCCGGCTTCATCCTCACCCTAATGCCATGGACTCCACCACAGTCCCACTAAATAGTCAGTTCACAAACTTAGGGAACAACAATTTCAATGCCATCACATGGCAGATGCAGAACCCTTTAGCAAAAACACTGATCAACCAAAGTATAGAGATTCAAATCTCTGGAATTCCAGGACATCTCTATAGCAACACAACAGTGTGACGTCTATTGGCTTATGTGACATACCACAGATCACTTTTACACACAATAACTTCACATACTGGGTATTCGCGCATATAGCGAACCTACCTGCCATTCTACACACTACAAGTTTATGTGTCAAGAAAACAACACACACTATTAGAGAACAGACTTTAGAACGATGTCCCAATTTGGCATTAGCCTCATCATTTTTTGCCGTCGGGACTAAAGGACCATTTAGTCCCGGTTCGTAATACCAACCGGGACTAAAGGTCCCTGCTCAACGGTCGTCCGCGTGGCATGGATCTTTAGTCCCGGTTTGGGTGATACCCCGGGAATAAATATTAATCTTTAGTCCCGGTTTGGACACCTAACCGGGACTAATTATGCCGGCCTATACACCGGCTCATTTCTTCCTCTCCGAGCCCGAGCCATTCCATTCAAACTCACCGCCTCTGTTCTTCAGCTTGCTGTTGTTCTTGCTCTCTCCCCCTCCATTGGTGTTGCTCTTTGATTTTGGAGGTAACAAACTTAATCCTCTTATGTTTTATCAGTAGCTTATCTCATTTTGCGATGTAGATGCATGTGTAACTTTATATGTTGGACTTTATTATGATTTTCTATGTCATTTTTAGCTCAAAATCACATGATGATTTGCATATATGTTTGGATAAACAAAAGTTAAATTAGTTCATCAAAATCACGCCTCGCTTCGTCTCGCGCTGGAGCACGCATCATCCTCGTCCCCACGGGCTTACGTGATCTTAGAATTAATTTTTCCATGAAATGAAAAACTTAGAAAATAGTTAGAAAATTGTAGAAAATCAGTACTAGTTGAACTTGCGGACCGTGATCATCTCGGCGAGCATTTTCTCTGCCGAAGCGGTAACGGACGTCAAGGAGGAGCTTTGATTCTACGAGGGAGAGCGAGCGGTGTCGGGAAGACCGTGTTCCTTCCTCGTAGAATCGAGCTCTTCCTTGGCCAAGCACGGTGCCGTCCGGGTGGAGAAATGCTCACGAGATGATCACGTAAGCAAGGTCAACTAGTACGGATGGTTATTTATTGAAACATGTTTTTGAGCTATGTGATTTCTATGTCATTTTAGCTCAAAATCACATGATGATTTACAATAGTAAAATCACTTGATAGTTTGGTATTTTACTATTATACATAGTACATATTTCATGGTTTAGTTAGATAAATAAATAATTTTAGTTTTGTTTAAATATATTATTTTAGAAAATGTGAAATTTACAATGAGTTTGCAAAAATAAGTATAGAAAGTAGATGACAATCGGTACGGATCCTCGGCCTCTCGCTCGGCTCTTGAACGATCGAGGCCGAACTCCCTCTCATTATCTCAAGCGGCAAGTGTAAGCGTAAGATTGTGATGGAGTACCGAGTCAAGAGACAGGGACCCAACAAGGGTCGTGTTTTCTACAAGTGCCCTTGATCGCGATGTGAGTTTCTTATGCATTTGATTATTATGGCTAATTGACTGCTTTTCTTGAATATTTTGACTAAATATTTTTGGCTTTAATTTCAAAGGGAGGGCAATGGATGCGATTGTTGGTACTAGGAGAAAGATTATGCTACATACGTGCAAATTAAATTTGCTGTCTGCCGGCGAGGCAAAGGAGCCGGGGAGAAGCTTATTGATATTCAACGTAAGA